AGGGGACTCTTAAGAGTCTTCTCCAGCACCACAGCTCAAAGGCATCAATTCTTCGGCACTCGGCCTTCTTTATGGTCCAGCTCTCACAGCCATATTTGACTTACTGACAACTTTCTCCTTCAGACAGCAGAAGAAAGTACAAGAGGAGCAGCTTTCTTTGACTTGACATACTAACCAATGTGGAAGACTTAGTTGAGAAGTAGAAGACCGAACACTGGGGGGAAATGACCATGAAAAAGGACAGAATATTTTAGTGTTGCCAAACATGAACTAATAGTGGAACAAACCTTGGGCTCTCTAGACAAATACGATATACTGGACTTGCCTAATGAGAATTTTGTGAAATCTTCTACCTCCCACCATGAGGAACTTGTCAGCCCCTCTAGGTAGACCAGACCAGAAAATCAACTCCACAGTAAGGCTATAACTACTTTAATTGAGATTGGCTATAATAACAGAATCCTGCAAGTCTGATTTTGCTGTATTTCCTCCTTCTTCTTATGCTCCAGTAAATTAGGGAGGCATCTGCCTGAGATGTTTCAAAATGTTATCTGGACATTGTGGACTTAGGCAATGTTTTACCCCTTGTTGCCTTGGCAACTGAGCTTGCATATCTCTGTTAAGGTCACCTTCCTCACTCTGCACAGAACTAGAGTCCAAACCAGAGCCCTTCGCATTCTATTCTGTATTAATCAACTTCCACTTTGAGTGCTGGGTTCAGCTCTTGGCAGTACATTTTAAAATGGATTCAGAGAAGCTGGTGTAAGTTCAGGGAAGGGTAGTGAGGATGATCAGAAGACTAGAAAGTCCCATGAAGCTGGGTATGATTGAGAAAAGACAGATGAGGGGGAGAGGATAACAGCTTTAAACATCTGAAAGTGAAAGGATCTCACTTAGGTCAATGTGTATCTTCTCTCACCAGAGTGCAGGACATGAAGTAATGGATATATATTACAAGAAGGCAGATTCCAACTGAATTTTAGAAAAACCTTCCTAATAGTAAAATAAGTTTGACAGTGAAACGCAGTACGCAGAGTGGTGGTGGGCTCTCCTTCATTAGATGTGTTCAGGAAGAAGCTAGAAAGCCATCTGTCTAGGATGCTTCAACTGAATTTGTGCATTGAGCAGAGAGTTGGGACCCAACATCTAAATGACTTCTTCCAATATTCTAATTCTAAGAGGCTATAAACTAGGCCTCTTCGCTAGGGTTACTAGATTTGGTCTGCAAAAATCCAGATAACCACTTGATGGCAGCAAAAAGATGCAGAATTTTTCTTTTTCTTGCTGCCCTCCAGTGATCATTGAGACTTTTGTAACCCTGGCTCCAACTGTGTGAGATGGCCATACAACACACCAGGACTTTGTTCAGATAACACAATGATTGTCTATTGAGCGCTTGGGAATAAAGTCACCAGAATGTATTAGGCCCTAGTTCTGTCCCAAATGCCTTCATCGTCTAATACCTAAAATTCTGGCATGGCACTCCTATGCTAAATAGTTTATGCCCTAATCGTCGTTAGAGATTTGTCTCTTTTCATATCCCAAATAAGACTTAGTTCTGCTATCTAATTCTTTTTGTATTGCAATAATGTTATTGTTTTGAGAGTCAATAGACTGTTCCACACTATATTATTTTGGCTTACAGTAATTCTACTTCTAAAATTTACAATTACATAAATATATATATGATGGAAAAAGACCCATCTTCCATCCATATAACCACAGATCCTGAAGAACGCCCATGCTGTTCCAATACATTTGGAGTATCTCATCCTGATCCTAAATATTCTGCACTTTAAGCTAAGCATATTCATATTTGTTTATAATTTAAAGTACAATAAATATGGAATGCATATTTCAGAGATAAATAATAATCCATTTGCATAAAAAAGCTAGTTTCAATGCAATTATTTTCAACTGAGGAAGTTCACACCTTTGAAGCAATAAGAACTGTTTTACCTATGGATATCTTTCAGATTTAAAGCTAATACATGGAGCAGAAAAGGAGGCTGAAATTTCTGGCTTCCCACAATGTCAAGTTCTCTGAGACATCAACCACAGAGATCTGCAAAAGGACGTCTATGCATG